CAATTTAAGAACAAATCTGTGCGTACGAACAGTTCTTGCATGAGGCCCATTGTTCTATGGTACTTGTAATAGTCATCATCCTCACATGGAAATGAGCAAGATGCCGGCTAACAGCTGGATTTGACTGGAAAAAGTGCAACCATGGAATTTAGGGGTTGACATAAGGGCCTATTTTGTTTTGGACAACCAGATTCCACCTCCAGGTTGTCCAGTGAAATCATGTGAAACCAAGTGAAATCATGGATTTAAGTTTGCCACCCCATATGGGATTTCTGTCCTCTGTCAAAATGAAAGGAGGAAAAACAAATGTGTGTCTTGTTGTTAAAGTGCCTGTGACATGCATATTCTTCAAATACAAAAAGTCAAAGAAAACATCTTTATATTTGAGATAGTTGGAATAATACACACGATTTAACCAATTTTCTCCCATAACAGTTATATTTTCTTTTGAACTTGGCTTAGCCAAAGTGAAACAGGAAGTGACATCAAAGGGGAACTCTTTAACAAAGAAAACTCTCTGGTCTTTGTTTACTGAAACAATATTATTTGAACTCTGACTCTTCTTCATCTCTCTCTGATAGTGACTCAAAATAATCTTAAGAAACACCAGATTCTTCTCTACAGGCGGGCTTGTTAGCCATTTTAGTAACACTCTGTTCACATGCAGACATTCCCCTTTGACATCACTTCCTGTTACTTCACAGGCAAATATCTCAACAACTGTTCATCTCAGTAGCTGTGTTTCCATTGACCATGAAAATGTGCAAATTAGAATTTCGAAAATAAATTTGCTCAATGGAAACACGTCAGTTGCAAAAAAAAAATAGTTTTTCGACAAAATGTTTTTGCGCTAGGATGAGGTTGTTTTTCGGCCATATCGAAATTGGTGTTTTTTGCAAAACTGCGATGGAAACACTTTTTTTGCATCACGGGAGTTACGTGTTGCTACCGCGACATGCTATGTGTTTACATCCATCGCCGCCATGTTTGTAATGACTTATCGCAAGAACAAACGTATTCACGCGTGACTTTAATAGCATTTCTTACTTAATGGAAACACCGCAGTTGCGAAACTGTGTTTTTTCGACATTAACAGAATATCGAAAAAATTTTTTCGCACATTTGCAATGGAAACGCAGCTAGTGACATGAAATTTTGTTAGCAATATTTTATCACTGTCCTCTTTTTTTAAAACAAAAATGTGACGTCACTGGCACTTTAAAGCCATTCAACCAATGATGATTGATACTGGGTTTAAACTGACAGTTCTTTCAACCAATAAAGAGAACAACAGTGAACTACAGTTATTTAAATGATAAATGATGAAAAGAGCAGCTTGAGTCATTAAAAATACAAACACACAATAGACAGATAAAACAAACTAAAAACTAGAAGCTCCTCCTGTATTTTCTGAAGTCAGATGTGTCAAAATTCCTTCTACAAACGTCTTTTTCTGTTATGGTTTTAACATTTGATCTCTGTATAATCCATGTTGATTGTTTAATAGTTAGGGAAAGCAGCAGATGCTTGACGTCATGAGTGGAGATCGGCATTAGAACAAAATTATAATATGTATTTTCTGATTAAAATTGAAATAAAACATGTTTCCATCACATATGCATCTATTTATTTGTTGATAGAGTGCACGTCTGCACACATTTTGTGTTTGTGTGTGTGTCTGTTTGTGTGTGCACCAGGCTGCAGAGATGCTTGTTCGGGAAAGGCAGGAACCAGATGACACAACTCATGGGATTGATGAGCAAAGCCAACCCATTTCTTCCCATAGTCCACAAATAAGCAGAGTTGAGCTTCAGATAAGGTAAGTGTTCCCTCTGTTAGCAGTTTCTGGTGTGAGTACAGTTTTGTTTGCTGATACTTATAGGACAGTGACTTTGAATTTCTGACGCAAGAGGTTTTTACTTTGGCGTCTCGCTTCACTAAATAAAAGATCGGAGAGAAGTCTGCGAGATGGACACTAGCTGCGTTTCCATTGACCATGAAAATGCGCAAATTAGAAATTCGAAAAATAAATTTGCTCAATGGAAACACGTCATTTTCGAAAAAAATTACATTTTTCGGCAAAATGTTTTTGAGCTAGGATGAGGTGGTTTTTCGGCCGTATCGAAATTGGTGTTTTTCGCAAAACTGCAATGGAAACACTTTTTTCGCATCACGAGAGTCACGTGATCAACAACCGACTGTTTCTACTGGCGAAAAAAGACAACGAAGAAGATAACAGGAAGTAGAAGTAGTAGTAATATCACAGAAGTAGTAAAAGAAAGTAGTAAACTCACCGACTACAATTTCCCAAAAACACAGCATACGTAGCCACTCCCAAGTAGGGACTTGTTGCTGGAAATCCTCAATAAAAGACGGGTCTGTGGTCCTCACAGTCACTATTTAATATTCCACTAGAGAAATCTTGTATTTATATTCATGTTCACAACCGCACAAAAATAGACATTTGAATCCTGGCGTTTCTGACAATCACTGGATGTACATCTATGTGCGTGTGTGTGTGTGTGTGTGTGTGTGT